AGAAACTTACCGGTCATTGGTCTAAATTCTTCATTATTGGTGATTTTAGTGCAAAAAACGGCTCATGGAATAATGCTCAAAGATATTCCAATGGTAATATTCCGTTTGATGATTGTTCTGCAGTTTATTACACTATTCAATATCCAAACAGCCCATCATGATTTTCTTCAGCAAGAAATCCCTCAACTATTGATTTGGTCTGACTGATTCAGTCTACTTGTAGCCAATTTGATACCCAATATCCCAAGAAATAATTTCTAATCCCAGCAGCTCTACTCTTAAATACAATAGAGCATATTGGGAGCAATATTGGACATTAGGTTGATTGTCTTTATTAAGGAGATTTTCAGCCAGACGCTCGTTCATCTCCAGTAGATATATTGCACATTATAAATATTCCTTTGCAAACCAAACATGATGTTAATACTGCTCTTGAATATCTGACTACTTCTATAGTTGAAGCAAGAGCTGCCTCAGTACTAAAATGCAAGGATAAAATGGGTTAAATAATAATAAACGCGATTCTGCCATGAAAATAATCTGGCGCGATTTGCAAAATCAAATTTCATTACTTCATTATGATGGCTATCAAGCCTTTGGGAATTTTCCATAATAGAGATTTGTGTAGATTTTTTTTCTTCGGTTTACTTAAATCTTTGATTTTTATAGTTGGGTAGGTTCCGATTGTACACATTGTAATTTCATTGTTATACCTATGATCTTGACATTTGACGTAAAGGGGATGAGTACTTAAGAGGATTAAATTTCGATAAGTTCTTTAGCGGGAATGACACTGATGAAGACTGCACATTGTAGTCGAAAAACGTATCTGTCATGGATACCAAAATTAATTAAGTGGAATTAAATGGAAGATAACGTGTTTTGCTGTTTTGCTCAGAAACTTAATAAGCAGTTCAAGAATTCCCATAAATTAATTTTGGGTCGTTTTAGTTGTATTGAGAATCAGGTTTCTTGGGATTATCTGAATATTTTATATCGGGATCAGTGATGGAAAAGTTCGCGAAAACTCACTATGACTCGCGAACTTTTCCCTTGGTGAACTTCTTGAAATATCGCGAACTTTTCCAACACTGATCGGGATTATGTGTTTGATGATTCCTAAGGGACTGATTTGGACGAAGTATTATCTATAACTAAAAACTTTCAAAGTAGTAAAGCCAGAGTTCCAGCTCCAGGATGATGAATATCCTCATCAACAAACTCCCGCTTGTCTTTCTTGATAAAATAATTTAATCGATATTTAATCCTGATAAATGGAAAAATGCAAAAGTTCTAATTTTGATACCCGGCTTCAAATCCAGCTTAAGCTTTCAACTACCGTACAATAAGTTTGCTTAGTAAACTTTTTGAATAGATAATTTTGAATAGAATGATGCTTCACATCAATACAAATTTGATTTTTGCAGATGAGCAGTTTAAATTTCACCATGGGCATTCAACTACTCATGATCTCTTAAGAGTTATCAATTTAATTCTTTCAAACAAATCTGAAGGCTGTTCAACAGGAGTTGTTCTTTTAGACTTTGAAAAAGCATTTGTCAGCGTTTTTCACTCTGTATTATTAAATAAGTTCAAAATCATTTAACTATAGAGCTCTGCAAATTAAAAATCCGAACGACTACCTGTTAGGGCAGGAGTTCCTCGAGATAGCATTTTTGAGCCTATATTGTACAACACGTTTTCATTTCGGACCACAGTTTTTTGCTACAAATTTGTGTTTGCTTATGACACAAAAATTTCTGCTAAATGAAGAAGTCTTGTTGTTATTTATTATCATGGTTATTGCAGCAGTTTAGAGAAAGTTTAGATATTTTCTCTTCTTACTAACAAAAATGGAAGAATTCTCCCAACGCATCCATAAATCAACTTATAATATTTCCACATAAGCCTACAACTTCCTTTTCGAAACCTAGTAGTAGTCACATAGTCCATATCAATGGAGATCCAATTTCTTGGTCAAGCCTAGTGAAACATCTTGGATTAGTACTCGACCAAAAATTCACTATTAAAGATCACATTGAGGACATTCATGCTTCAAGCGGTGCCTATGGTCTAGTTGTTACACTACCAGGAAAAAAGCACTTCAAAGTATTCAACAACATAATTAATAAACTCAGGCAAAAATCATGGCAATCCTCAATTGAAACGATTAATTCCTTTTACATTTAGATAAGTTATTCTTTAGTTGTAAGTTGAAAATTGTTATACTGATATGCAAGTATAGAAAATCTGTTTAAAATACTGAATTGCCATAGCAGAAAATGTAAACACGCTTAGATATACATCATGACAATTAAGGCTGGTGAGTTACTATAGTAGCTGGAGCACCTAGATTAAAATGTAATGTAATATAATTTTCATTTTGAACAAACACAATTTTATTTCTAAATGAAGCATCCTAGTGTATTGGCAAATCAAAGATGGTACTAGTGGAGAATAGAAGAACTATGAGAGTGATGATGGTTTCAAAATTTTACACATTGAGGTATACGAGTGCAATCTTAAAATGCTTTTATTTTGCAAATGGAGCATTTTATTTAAATCTGTTTGATGCTACGTTAGTAGAAAACATAAAGACTACTCAATTTATATATAATATAGAAAAAATAATTTCTTTTAAGATTTTTAGGTGTATACATAGATATTAGCATTTCCACCACTGTAGCAGCAACGAGATTTAAATAAAATGCTCCATTTGCAAAATACAAGCATTTTAAGATTGCACTCGTATACTTCCCCGAGGAAAATTTTGAAACCATCATCACTTTCATAGTTTTTTTTATTCTCCACGAGTGCCAACTTTGATTTGCCAATGAGCTATAGCTTTTTCCATTTATGGAATTATTCCAACTAAATTTCATAGGCCACAATTAGCTCATGGTACGTATTTTAATAATGTCAAGCTTCCAAAATCTCTATAAATCGGCATTTTCAACAATTTCTTAGGAAATGTGCTCTTCAATGATGTATGTTTGTGACCCTGAGTAAAACTAAAACCAGAATTCGTTCATTGGAATAAAATTCAAAATTGTACTAGAACATGCAAACCATACAATTTCAATATTGAATTCCTTAAAAAAATACGAATGGTGATTTGCATATTTCCAAACTACCCCAGTTTAAATGAGATAAATCCATACATTATACAATACCTACCCAATTACTTAACCTGATTTTCGCATCATATACCTCCCGGAGACGGGCTTCTTTCCACAGCACAAACCATTAAGAAGTGCACTCTTTAGCATCTCTCTGACAAGGTAAGATCACGAACGTCGGAGGAACAGATCTCGCAGCAAAGAAGAAAGGCGATGGAATAACAAACTGTAGCAAACGGCTCAGAGAGCCCGGGGATGGAATACAAGGGAGCATACTGCGTGGCCAGCCAGCATCACAAAAGCCGCACGTCTTCTGATCAAAAGAAGGGGGAGGGCATCTCGCTACGGCATGAGCAAACAAAAACAGAAACACAGTCACACACACACACACACATGTGTACAGGCATCTTTTTCGTGTATTATTATGACCCGTCGTGGATCTCTCTTGTTAGTTAGCAGTTCAAAATCACCGCTGCCGACCGAGTTGAGCTGGGGTCCGAAAATTGAAAATAAAACGAAGTAGAACAAGAAGAAGCGATGGAACAAAAATTAAAGACGTACCCCTATAGAAACCCGAAAGACCCGTGTGGAATGAAAGGGCACTTTAGGGAGTAGGTATATTGTAAAACGAGAGCGGGAGATCACGCAGAAATTAAGCCCGGGACTTTATGAATATGAACAGGATGGAAACGGAATAAATCTCGATAATTTAAAAAGAAAACATCACAAACGAGCGACGCGACGCGTTATGATCATCATGGTGGAGTTTCGTGGGGGTTATGGTCAGCTGGAACGGGTCGTATCGCCGTCGCCGTGCCACTGCATAGTGGCAAACAAACAGAAGAGCTCCGAAACGCCGAGTATAATTTACGACCTGCGACGAGTTCTCATATATGCGCTACAACCAACCCGCCGAACGCCCTGCCGACAGTGATTTTTGTTTGATGAAGAGTTGAGGTAGAAGGCAGAAGGAGACAGGAGGAGTGGAAGTAGATTCAACCTGATTCCGTCGCGCACGTCGTTTGATGGCAGAGGGCGGACACACCAGCGAAAGAGGTATCTATTTTTAACAAAAGGTGGAATTGAAGTCACGATCGACCGGCCGGCCGAGGAATTCTTTTCTTGTTGGAGGGACTATGTGAGTGTATGAAGAAATGGAGCAAACGATCGGCGTGAGTTTGTTTTCATCAATTGAGAGTTGTATTTCGTTCTTTTTCTTCCGTTCGAAATAAATTATTATCCTATAATCAAATATACAATTTTTTGTTTGGAGCTCTTTAGGGCTTGCAGTGTGTAGTTTGTTGTTGCCTTCTCAATATACATCTAATGGCGGTAACTAATAACTTCTTTCGTGTTCCTCTTTTATAGTAACGTGTATGATGGAGACTCTGGTTCATACGCCGAAATTATTATCAAGAAATAGCCCCAACTATCTATGGCGGTCAGTTTGATTTAAATATACGACATTTTCTTCAGTAGTTTTGTTATTCTGGCTTCGAATACACTTAAGATTAATAGTCAATTTATTTCGTTCAGTTAATAATAGTAATTTATAAAAACTAGTATCACGTTTATTAAGTCATAATTGTTCTCATCTTGGGTTTTCTCTCCGCTCGTTCCGAAAGTGGGGGGGGGGGTAAAATAAGTTCTAGCATGTGACATTTTCCGTTTTCGTTATCGATCCTAGATATATAGTATCTTTTCTTTGAGCGAATCATAATACACAGTTAATAATATTTGGCAAATAAGAAGTTTCCTAGCAAGCGTAAAAATCCTTGCCGTATGTGTGTGTAATTAGTGTAACGTTTCTATAACATTCTATGAAAACGAACTGAATTGACTCGATCCATAACATGACTATGAGATTGGTTGGTTTGTTCACTGTACAAATATACACATTCCACACAGGTTAACCGAGAGTTAAGCTAACGTAATTGTATACAACTAAGAAACAAAGAAGCAGTTTAGTCTAATGGTTCACAGGCATATCTTACACGAAATAAGCTCTTCCGTTGCGTCCCATCTGGGGCGTCTCCGGTATCGTGGAGTACACGTGACCAAGCGAGGCACTGGACCGGCTCATGTTGTAGTGGGACTGGGGAGCCTCGTAATGCTGCGATGAAGCCGAAGAGGACTCATCCTCCGTGTTGCAGGTACTCTGAGACGGTGTGCTCTGAGGTACGGCCACTGGCATGGCCACTCCCGGGTGACTTATCTTACACCACTGATCCATGGCAGTTGGAGCCGGTGTATACCGGAGATTGGGACTCCGCGTGATATCACCGAGTTTCTTCAACGTTCGGTCCTTGTTGACATCCGGTAGAGCGTACCGGAGTTTGTCCCAGAACTTCCGTTCTCCCCAGCAGGCTACAGTGCAGGTTCGTATCAGTAGATTCATGATAGGATCCATCGCTACCAGTTCCACCGGTGCGGTCAAGACAACCACGATCTTGTGCCTCCGGTAAGCGGGTCGGATGTTTTCAATGACTGACTGAACGGCTACCCGGAATTGTGGCTGCGACCACTCATTCTGCAGAAAATTCATCGATACTACCAGGATGACCTTCTTCGAAGCATCAGCTGCAGTCTGCAGCGAATCCGAGAGGAACGTATTGGAGTGAACATCACGATGATGAAGGCAAATTGAGTAACCGTAGTGCTGGAGTTCAGCCCCCAGAAGCCTTCCGACAAACTCGTTATCGTGAATACTGTACACTACATAGCTGTCATAGAGCTTATCATTGTCCTGCTCCTTACTCGCCATTATGATCGGATCCTTTACCAATCGGACACCATACTTGGCATGTGCCCACAGTCGCACATCTTGCCTGAAGACGCAAGCAAGTGCCACTATCAGTGCGGTTCCGATGATTGCTACAACTATTGCCGCCAGAAGCGGTACGTAGCCCCCTCCGATCAATCCGTGCCCCATCAACACCGTCCGATGCACTGCCGGAGGAGCTACCTCGTTATCAAACTCCAGCTGACTTTCACAGGAACTTATCACTTCTCCAACCACTCTATTGTCCGCACAGATCATTCGATTAATGTCAAAGTCACCACTCACGTCTCTAACCCACCTCTGCATTTTGTGTAATGATTCACAGTCACACTTCCATCGGTTCCCTTCGAGCGAAACCTTGCTCAGCGATCCCGTTTCCGAAGCCGCCGCCAACGCTTGCCACGGCGAGAATCCGCTTATCTTATTGTCACTCAGGTTAATCACTTCCAAAAATTTCAGATTTTCAAACGTCTTCTCACCCACGTAACCGATCGTGTTATGGTCCAAATATAGTTCGTTCAAATTGGTCAACTGGTCAAACTCAAACCCACGCAGTTCTTCAATGTAATTGTTCTCCAAATGTAGCACTCGCAAACTCGGAATTCCATTAAATGTCCTATTGTGCACATTTGCAATGTTACTATTGTTCAGATAAAGCACTTCCAATTTCTTCTTCCCGATAAACTGGTGACTTCCCAGCTGTTTCAGATCATTCCCGTCCAAGTAGATCGTAGTCGCGTCCATCGGAATGTGCTCCGGCACTTCCGTATAGTCTGCATTTCCACAGTCGACAATGTTCGTCTTCCACGTGTGATCGTGATAGCAACTACACCGATCCGGACAGGTCATTTTACAATCACAAGCATCAAAGTCACAACAATGGCACGTAGCAAAGCAATGCGTTTCATACTGGCACAGGAAATCATGGGTGTTCAAATCCATCAGCGGCCGAATCGAAGCCCCCCGTTCATGTTCCATCGTACACATTACCGTGTCCAGATCCATCACTCTTGGGTGCTGCTTCAGATGCGATAGTTTATTGATCCCCTGCAGCCACTCCATCGTACAGTCGCAATGGATCGGATTGTCGCCGATGTAGAACTGAGGCATATCCCTATCGTCCCCAACTCGAGTCAACGCCAACGCTCCAATCTCCAACTTCTTTATGTAATTTCCATACAGCACCACCTTCTCCAGACTTTTCTTGTTCAGGAACGTCCCTGCGGCCACCTCCTCCAAGATGTTATTATTCAAAAACAGCGTCTCAATACTGTCTGGAATATTCTTGTTGTCCACCGTAACCAGTCGATTGAACGACACATCCAACATCTTGATCTGCAGATTGTTCAGATCGTAATAATTGCCCAATTCCGTTATGTTATTCTGATGCATATCCAACCACTCCAGCGAAGGTGGCAGATGACTGTAATCGAAATTTCTAATCTGATTATCCGACACATTCAGAAACACCAGTGCCGGCAGCGACGTAAACACCCCGCTGATGTCCTCTAGCTCGTTGTTATCCAACCGAATCGCTCTAATCGTGGGATTCGAACTGAATGCCGATTGATCGATGTGACGAATCTGATTCGAAGCCAAATTGAGCACGTGCAGCGATGACAGGGTTACGAAAGCATCCCGAGAGATGTTGGTAATCCGGTTTTCCACCAGCCGAAGGCCGAGCAATTGTTCCAGACCCTCGAACGAGGCATTATAGACGGTTACGATTCGATTTTTGCCCAAATCCAGTGATTTGAGGAAGCGCAGCTTGCCGAGCCCCTCTGGAATTTCCGTCAAATGGTTGTCATTCAGATTGAGATCGTTTAGGTTGGTCAGATTCTCGAGGGCGCGAGGATGCATAGAGTCGATGACGTTCGATTCGATGTACAGCTGGTTCAGGACATACAGTTCGCTGAAATGGTGCTGATCGATTCGTTTCAGCTTGTTATGGGAGAGTGTAAGGGCGACGAGGTTTTTCAGATCACTAAATGCGTTATCAGCGATGGTTTCGATAAGGTTGGACTCTAGGTTCAGCACTTGGAGGCTGTAGAGTTCACGGAATACGTGCCGGTCGATTTTTGTTAAGCTGTTGAAGCTGATGTCAAGCACCACGAGACGCTTCAGGCCGGCGAAAGTATCTCGGTTGATCCATTCGGAGGTTAGTTCGTTGTGTGAAAGATCCAATATTTCAAGTCGATCAAGACCTTCAAGCAAACCAGGGGCGAGCACCGACAAGGAATTATTTTGTAGATAGATCTGGCGAAGTTCACGTGGAGATTGGAAGAGCTCCGGTGGGAGAGCGACAAGTTTGTTGCTGGACATGTTCAGGACTTTGAGTGATCCAAGACCAACGAAAGAGCGGTCAGCCAGTGAACTCAGAAGATTATCTTCAATGAGCAGAATATTGAGCGATCTCAACGACGAAAGGCCATTATCGGGAAGCGAAAGTATGTCGTTGTATGAGAGATCTAGAACTTCCAAGCCGGTATTGCAAGCTTTACCGGGTGCGGTGGGACCGTTGCCCCAGTCGGAAAATCCGAGCTGGGAGATGTCAGTTAGCCGGTTCTTGGTCAAATTGAGCTGCCGCAGTGAAAACAATGGACAGAACACATCAGTCGGCAAGCTCCAGATGTTGTTGTCGGCGAGATCTAACCGCTTGAGCTCAGTCAGCCCACGGAAACTTTCCGGATGGAACTCCAGATTCATTGCGGACCAATCGGTGTTGTGAGTTCGCAGCGATAGCGAGCGGAGATCCCTCAGCGTCGAGAGGACCATCGAAGGCACGTACTTTATTTTACAGTATTCGATCTTGAGATCGCGTAGGCGTTTCAGGGAACCTAGGAATGCTCCCGAATGTTGATTGGCTTCTAGGGAGCTCTCAAAGAACAGAATGTCGCTGCACTCCAATTTCAGCGAATTGATGCGTTCAATCTGGTAGGAGCTCAAATTACGCATCAGCGTATCGGTGCCGCCGATTGTTTTCAGCTTGCATGAAAGAACGGTTGTCACGGTGTTCTCATCCTCAGCATTCTCATCGAGAACTCGCTGCCATTTGCATCCCTTCGGTGCGATGTCCATTCGGCTCATCAGGGTAGACCGGGCGGCGATAGATACCACCAAAGTGAGGAAAAGTAAACTTTTTGGAAAATCCATCGTTGAGCAGTTTTTGTTTTTGTAGATAATTAGGAACTTAGGCGATAGGGGTAGTGGGAAGATTCACACGCCACAGAAACTCATAGAGATAATAATTTTGGCCGTTCAGGAGCACACACGATCAAATTCTCTTCCGCAAAGCACTTCAATTTTCGTTTCTAACAATCACTTCTCATCGTCGTTTTAAGATTCATCTTTTTCATCAAAATATTTGCCTTCTTCTTGGAAATTTCCAACATAAACTGGATCATTTCATATCACACATTTCCCATCTGCTGGGATGGTTACTTCCCACACTCAATTTTGCTCTCTTCTGTACCAGATAACTTTAAAGTCACACGTTTTTCACTTCATCTTCTCAGCTCTTCTTGGCAGACAGCAACTCTTCTTATCGCTTGCGTAACACACAGAGAAACCTATCACACTCACTCACTTAAGATTGCGTTGGGAAGTCGTTGTAGCAATTTTCCGAAACATAACAATGCTCTATCGAGATGAACCGTTTTCCGTCGCAACCGCTTCCATACAGAACATTTGTGTTAGAATATTTTGGAAACAGTGTCTCTCTTACAGAGAAGATGGGGGTTCCACTTTTATGTCATTCAAGTTGTACAAGTCCCGGACGATTGCGTTTTTGCGTCCTATCCCGAGGAGGGTCGAAGTTGTAACTAAAGTTTGATTCTCAGATTTTGGCAGCAAGATAGAAAAATTTGGATAAACACAGCTCAATGCTATGACTCAAAATGAACCTCACTAGTGGGGGAAAGCCGAGAGAACACGAGTGCAGCCGAAGAGCGCAAAACTGATGAATTTCTCTTGAATTTCCTTCATTATCCCGTTCGTCGAGAGGGGAAGTCGGATGAACACTCTCATTCTTACTCTCCCTCTCCCTCGATTCCGATTCACTCTTTCGCTCTCGACTTGCAACTCTTGTTGGGATAAATTCACCCGCAGGGCCAAGTGCATTCGGTTGATTGCATGGTAAACCCTCATAATTTTCCATCTTTTGCTTCATTATCTTCTGCGTCCCACCCGTACAGCTTCCCCCTCTTTTACTCGCTCTCGCTGCGCTGTGTATTCCCATGGTTTTCTGTGGTCATGCAGTTTGTTTCGGTTTTCGGCCCCTTGTCTAGCCTACTTTCTGCGACAACGACGACGAGGGTCCTCTCTCGTCAAGTCCTCTTCACACAATCCTTCGCCCGTCCATCGTTGATCCTTCGTCCTCTCCTTTTCCTCCTTTTCGCTTCACTGGCATTGCTAACAGATGCACTACTTTCAAACAGAATAGACGGAACGCTTCAGGTACTGGGGAACAACGAACAGAAAAGAGAAACTATTTCAGTTTTCAAACTCTCCGAGGATACCTTAGAGCATACTCTTTTCTTTTTTGCTTTCAGCGCAAGGAATCTGTTTTGGAAGCCAAGAAGGCAGAAATGTTTACTTTCTTAAGAACTATTCGGTTGCAGTCTGCCGGAAAGGCAGAAGAAGAAACAGCTTTTGTGTTTTGTGTTTTCATTTCATTTAGACCGGGAGAAAAAGGCTAATTTGGGATCATAAAAACGGAGAAATTTAATTAGGAATGAAGCTCTGCGCTCTGCTTAGAGTGTGATTTAGATACAGGGCGAATCAATGCACAAGAAAACAGGGCCAAGGTCCTTTCCAGTGTATCTACATACCTCTATATCTTACGAAAGGTGCATTTGAATATTTTATCGATTTATGATGAATGTGCCAGAGCGAAATACCCACACCCAATCGGAGTGATGGTGATTTTTAACGGTAATGAAGATGATAATGAGCCTTATACGACTTGATTGGAAGTGAGATTTTGTTTATTGAATGATCATTTTCGGCCCCAGCCGCACTGCTCTGCAGCCAGCGGCCCCGACGTCGAATCGTTGGCTGGGCAGTGCAATTTGCATTCTGTTGATTAGGGGCTGTCCATAAACTACGTAGACGGTTGGGGGGGAGGGAGGGGTTCCAAAAATGTCTACGTTTGTCTACGGGGGGGGGGAGGGGTGAAGGTCCTGTCTACGTGGTTTTATTAGAATAATTTTTTATGTATTTAGCCGCTTACTATTGTGATGCTTCCATCTACAAATTTATTCCGAATAGAACATTTTCATTGAGAGATCAAGAACAAAACCACAAAATATCCCAATCATTGAACATTTTGAGGAAACATTACCACAGGAATAAACAGTTGAATTGCATAAAATTTGGTGTGCCTCAATCCATTTTTTTATAAATCAGGATGCGACGCTGACCGAATTATTGGCCTTTTTGGATTATTGATTAGTTGTTAAGTCTATGAAATTCAAATGACCACTATCTGGAGTATTATGCAGTTAGAATAAAATATAAGGTCAGCAGCGAAATGCTGTTCCAATTCATCTAAAAGGATTCCATTTCGCTTAGTGCAAACGGTTGAAGGCCGGCGCACAATGCATAAAGTGTCACGCACATTTGATCCGGTTGTAATACGTTCCTGCAAAATAAAAGCTCAATCTATTGTCTAACTATCAAATTTGCATCAACGCTTCGCAAACGAAACAAATGTGTGTGAGCCTTAAGTAAGATTTGACAAATTAGCTGGATATTCAAATTATTTTGCAGTATCATTTAAGGAGAGACCCAGGAAGAGTTGGAGATAAGTGGAAATAGGTTGTGGATACCAACGCTATTCGCATAACAGTTCCATGTATATAGGAAATCCTTAGGACATAGTAATACGAATAGATATTCTCTCTTTTTTACACAAAATTTAAAAAAATCAGCGATGTTATCAGTTATCAAGTTTTGTGTTTTTACTCAATACTCCTTAGCGACTAGACTACCATACGTCTCCATTGATACATAGCTAACATAAATCAAAAAAGACAAGTAGAGTATTATCAACATATTTCTCCTAAGAAGCATTTTTAATTACCTTTCATTTTATATTTTGATCTTTGGAATCGGCCGTGCGGTTCAAAAATTGACTTAAAAAAAATCGTTTTTGAAAAAAAAAATCCATTGGTAATCTTGGTCAGGATTACTAGTTTATGCTAAGTGCTCATAATTATTACACAAATAATGCTTATGCTCATAGATTCTCATACAAGTGTATCCGTGGCATTAGTAAATCATCTCAGCCAGGGTGCCTTCCATTCATTTTGACTCATAAAATGTTTTAAGAAGTTATGGAATAATAAGATATTATGAAAATATTTTGATTGTGTAAACAACAAGAAAAGATTGTAAAGTTTGTATTTGACACATAATATCTGCCAATTTTGCTACATGAGAGTCGCGATAAGCGATTTTGTAATTTATCTCACCCACTCTTCGCTCTTCACTCTTCGCGAAGAGGCGATCAGAAAAACGCTCATTGTGACTCTTTCAAAGCTAAATTTGCAGGTTTGATGTGTCAAACACAAACTTAACAATCTTTTCTTATTACTTACACATACAACATATCATCATATTATCTTATTATTCCATAATTTGATAAAACATTTTTTTAGTCAAAATGAATGGAAGGCACCCTGATCTCAGCAATCCACGAAAAACCCGCATGGAAAATCCGGAAAACCATTGCCAGGGTGAAACATTTTTTCTTATAATTTTTTATGCTTGAATAAGGTACACCGGGGTAAGTTGAAAATAAAGGCGTAACTATTAGCAGAAGTGTGATATCACTGTGATTGAACAGAGTAGTTCCAGGCCAAATAGCAAAAAAAAAATGATTTTCAGACTCGACCTTCTCCGATTTGCATAAAACTTTATATAAATAGTTGCCTTGTATGGTAAATCATTCACATTTCAGCTAAAATTAAGCCATTTTGAATCATGCAAAAAGTTTCAAAATGGCGTATTTAAAATATTTCAATAAATCCACGAAAACGCCACAACAAATCGAAATGACATCTGAGACAATGTTGTAGGAAGAAATCAATGCTTTTCAGAAAAAATATAAATGGTACAAAAATTTACGAAATTTTTGGTAAAAATCTAAAAAGTGTTTAAAACATTAATAACAGAAATGACCCTCTTTAATATTTTCGAACCATTTTTATTAAAAAGCATACTCAAAGTTCTATTTTTTGTGAAATTTTCAAGTTGGACACTTAAAAATTGACAATAATCATGGAAAAACTTTAAAACTTTTTGTTTATACAACTTTTTGCAAGTTTTTCCACAGAAAACAATTTATTAGGTCCAAAGAATTAAATTGTGTTCAACTATATACCAAAAAATCGTCTAAACAAAAAGTTAAAATATTTGATTAACAGTTGTTGTTTTATGATTTTTATCAATTTTTAAGTGTCCAACATGAAAATTTCACAAAAAATAGAATTTTTCATAATGGACACTTAAAAATTGATAAATATCATAGAACAAGAACTTCTAGTCAAATGTTTTAACTTTTTGTTAAAACGATTTGTTGGTATGTTGTTGCACACAATTTGATTGCTTAGACCTAATAAATTGTTTTCTGTAAAAAAAACTTACAAAAACTAGTACATATAAACAACAAGTCTTAGATTTATGCCATGATTTTTGTCAATTTTTAAGTGTTCAACTTGAAAATTTCACAATACAATAGAACTTTGAGTATGCTTTTTAATAAAAATGGTTCAAAAATATTGAAGAGGGTCATTTTCTGTTTTTAAAGTTTTTAACACTTTTATGGATTTGTACCAAAAGTTACATTAATTTGGTGAATCTTTTATATTTTTTCTGAAAAGCATTTTTTTCCTACAATTTTGTCTCCGACGTCATTTTGATCGTCTGATCGATTCGTCATTTGGCGTGGAACAACGCAGTGCAATAAGCACCTATATGCATTTTTTTTTACTGTTAAAACAAGTAGTTGGAAGTAGTTATCTTCCCCAAAAAGATGAATTTTGTATAATTTAATCCAGTGATGTACATATGAAGGCCAGTTAGAGTGATTGTACACAAAATTTCGGTCACACTAATTTTCCGAAATATTTAAAGCATTTCAACTTGCCCCATATTTTTGCACCCCATAGGATAAAATGAAATGAGTACAGGAGCAAGTTAAAATGGATGATGATTGTCACAATCTCATTACAAAAAAACAGTGCAGTTGGTTGGAGGACAAACCGGAAATAGTAGTGATTGATGACGAGTAATTGATTGTTGCTCTATCCGATCATTTAAAATGTTTTTCATTGTTACAAATTATTATAACGCATAAATGTATTATGCATTTACAGACAGACTGGGGTCAACTTATTGTAGTAACACTAAATATGTTCATATTGCTAATAAATTACATTTATATTGCGAGTAGTTGTCAACAATTGAAAGTATTTTGTTAAATGTTTATTTCATTGTACTACACTACCAACCGTACACTACAGTACAGAAACTTCGTAAAAAAGCCCGGAAGCTTTTCAATAGGGCTAAACGAACACAACAGTGGGAACAATATAAGAAATCCCTCACCACTTATAATAAGGAAATACGGAGATCAAAGAGGATACACTGGAGGCATACATGTGAGAACATTGAAAATACTCCAGTAACTGCTAGGTTGCAGAAAATACTCGCTAAAGATCATTCCAATGGTCTGAGCACTTTGAAAAAAGAGGATGGCTCTTTTACTACTTTTACAAATGAAACGTTAGAGTTGATGATGAGAACG